GTTGTTTTTGCAAGTAGTGGGCAAATACTTGCATGAAATTCCAGCAGGTCAGGGCTCAGGGACTCCCAGTAACTGTCGAACACCAGTCGCCACCCAGTCGAAGGTAGTAGTCCCCGCCCCCAGGGACTTTTCCTCCACTCCAGGCCTGGTGGGAAGCGCGGGCCAGGTGGGGATTGGGGTTCCGGAGACCCTGCCGACTTCACCTCGCCCCCAGGGTGGTCCCCGGGCGAGCGAGGTCCTGCGGCCGCCCCAGAGGAGGGGGCGAAGATTTTGCGCTGTGGCTGCGCCCGGGACTGTAGCGGCCGCGGGGACCCGGTGTGCGGCTCCAACGGTGTCGTCTACACCAGCGCCTGCCACCTGCAGGAAGCCGCCTGCCTAGGCCGCGCGAGATTGGAGCCTGCACCCCCTGGCCACTGTGCCCTCGGTGAGGACCCAGCTGGGTCTGGGACCCCAGCTCTCCCTGGATACAAATAGTGCATCCCTCTCTTCTTTATCACATCCTCCTCCTCTCCATCACCCCCTTCTCCTCCCCATCCCCACCTCCTCTGCCCCATCACCTCCTCCCATCACCTTCATCCTCCACCTCCCACCACCTCCTCCTCCCATCACCTTCTCTTCCCTGTCACCTTCTCCCTCCCGTCTAGTGTCACTCCGTCTCCCCTCCTCTCCTCTCCCCTCCTCTCCCCTCACTCCCTGACGGTCGCAGTCCTCCATTCCCTGTCTCTCCCTGATCCTAACAGAAGTGGCCCCTGCATCTCTCATCTCTGACTCTCTGTCTTTGGACTCAGGACTGTCACGCTCTGTTCCTTAGGCCTTGTGTCCTCCCCGTCTCTGGTTCCTTGCATCGGGGTTTCCGCATCTCCTCAGTCTTGCCTGAGTCTCTCCCCATCCCCACCCCAAGTTTGTGCCTTTCTGGAACTACACATCTCTGAGCTCTGTGTCCCCTTCCCCCACCCTTGTAATCTCTCACCTCCTGCCTGTTGCTCTGGGCCATAGATCTCCTCTTTATGGTCTCTCTGGGCTATCTGCCATCCAGATGGTCCCCCTCCAGTGCCCTCCTACCGACTGAGCCCCCCTTCCTTCCAGAGCAGCTGACACCGGCCTCTGCGTCATACAGTTACGACTATGACCCAGTGCCCCCAGACTCTGGGCACCTGGCAGCCAGCCATGGCCATGAGGTGATGGACTTGGAGGGGGAGGCAGAGGACAGGTGAGAGCCAAGCCCCTCAATTCCCTCCCCCTACTGGCCCTGCACCTGACAGGAAGTGGGAGTGACCAATAGATGGGTCAGCCTGCAGGTTTCCAGAAACTAGGTAGGAAAGAGACAAGGTGATGGGGAGGAAGGGGAGGAGGAGGTGGTGATGAAGAGGATAGGGAGATGCACTACCTGTATCCAGGGAGAGCTGGGGTCCCAGAGGCCAGACCCAAGCTGAGTCCTTACCAAGGGCACAGTGGCCAGGGGGGTGCAGGCTCCAGTCTCCCAGGGCCTAGGCAGGTGGCCTCCTGCAGGGATCCATTCTCTCCTGACCCCATCCCCCACTGTCCGTCCAACACACATCAGAAAACAGCCTGTAGGAGCGCAGTGAGGCTGAGCCTTCCCAAGGACGCAACCCCAGGACAGACCTGTCCATGGGGTGCCCTGGGACCCTGTTAAAGAAATTATTCACGATGCTTGTTAAGATGGCAAGGAAGACTTTGTTCAAGGGAAGGGGCAGTGGAGACCAGTAGCAGGACCATGCGGTGGGGCCTTACAGTGGAGAGGAAGCCAGGACCCAGTTCTGAATGCTACAAGAAAGAATGGAGATTTATAGTCAAGGACCAGCGTGGGGTCCATGAACGAAGAATTACTTACCGGAAACATCAGAGATGAAGGGAGAGTTCTGACTGACCCCCCCTAACAGCATCCCCCCCAAAGGCAGGCCAGGGTGTCAGACAATGCCCCAGGGCTGGTGGGGAGGAGGGAGCTGACTGGATATGGAGGGTGACCAGGTATGGAGTGAGGGATTCCAGCCTAAGCCGACGTAGCAGGGGTCTTGCTGTAATTGGACAGTGCTGAGATGAATGAACCCCAAAGCCCAGAAGTGGAGACCTAGTCGAAAAAGAGGAGCCTGAGTGGCTTTTGATCAGAGAATCTTTGTCACTCCAGGGAAGGGAAGGGGAAGTGGGTGGGAGACCAGAGAGCCCTGTGGGGTGAGGCTGGGGAATGGCTGCCGGGCCGACTTCCTGGAGGAGGTGAACTTTTCTAAATTACAGCAAACTCAAGAGGTTTAAGCAACGGGTTGAGTTTATCAGCTCAGGTATGTGCCAGCTCCTGGGGCTGGCTGCACTGTCAGGCCTCAGACTGTGTCCCCCTAGGTCCTGCCTGCCTTGGCGGGGTCTCCCTGACACATGTCCGTGGCAAAGGCAGGGTTTTGGCACACCCAGTGGGAATGCTTCCACCAGTGCCCACCAAAGTCCCGGAGGCTCAGGGCCGCATCTTCCACACCAGGCACTAGGGCTCTCGGTCCGTGTGCGCTTAATATAATTATTGGTAGAGCTGGGCTTATGGCTCTGGTTTCAGTATTTGTTCTGTTTTGTCCTCTGTGGCTCCTTTTGCCTCTATTGAATATTTTTTTTAGGATTCCATTTTGATTCCACTCCGGGGATCACCATATATATCCCTTTTCAGTTGGTTGTTCATTTTTCACCACTGTCACAACTGACTCTGCAGTTCTCCCCTACGGGTGGCTTTGTGTCGTCACCGCCTTGGTCAAGATACAGACCGGCTGTCCCTTTACAGCCACGCCCACCCGTCCCCTCCCCCTAGTGTCGTTGGGGGAATGCTGTGGAAATGGGAGTCCTTTGGAGACTGGCTTTTCTCACTTGCCTCCCATCCACGTTGTTGTGTGTACCAGAAGTGAACAACCTGTCCTATCGCCGTGCCCCGGTGGCAGTGGGCAGGGTCCTGAGGGTCCTCTTCAGGGGACATGCACCTGCCCCATGACGTGGAGGCAGCTTCAGCCGAGGGCACGCTGGCCCCCGGAAGGCCTGGCAGCCCACGGTGTCTTTCTCTTTTCTCTCTCCAGTCAGAGTGGCTTCTCTTCCTAATGCTCCGAGCAAGAGGACTTGATCTGGCTGCGTCCTGTCCCTGTCTGCCCCCCTGGAAGGGGGCCACTGAGGGGAGAGCTCCCTTGCCCCTCTGGTGGGCGGGCGGACCCCGCTCCAGGTGACTCCAGCCTCCAAATGAACCTGATACACGGAACGCAGAGACCTGCCTCGATGGATGACAGGCCTCCTCCCAGCCCTCCCTCAACCAGGGGGTTGGCCTCGATCCCCCCACCTCCCCACCTGCACCTGGGGCTGGCTGCACCCCTCCTTGGGCCAGAGCAGCTCCTGCTCCAGGGGCAGGGGTGGAATTTCTGGGAAGGACCTGCGGCCAAAGGCCTCTGTCAGCAACTTCCAAGTGAAATAGGTTGCCTTTCTCCAAAATGCAAAGGTCTGGCCCGCTTTGGGGCACCTGGCTGCTGAGGCCCTGGACTTAGACTTCAAATTGTCCCATAATGGTCACAGTCCCCACATACACCCCTCCCCATCTCACCGCAGAGTCCCTGAATGTTTGGTCCTGACCCAACAGGCCCCCGGAGAGCTGGAGAGCTGCGGGCTCTGACAGAGGCGCCTTCAGCTTCCTGCCTCCAGGACTAGGCTGATTCCCACCCCAGGGTCTCACCCCCTGAGCCCCTGAGCTCCCGGGACCCCACACGGGGAACTGCCCTCTCCCAGCATCCTGGGAGGGAGCCCCAGCTCTGCACCCAGGCCTGCCTTCGTCGGGGGACCCTCCAACATTCCTCTTTGTAACCCTCAGGGGACGCCTGCCTCTCTTTGCTCCTGTGCGCGGCCTGTCTGCTTCTCCCCTTCGCGGTGGTATTTATCGCAGCCGGTGCTGCTCGTCTCTGACCTCCAGCCAGTGGGTCCCCAGCGTGCAGCGCCGGCCACTTTCCTGCGCCGCTCACCCCCACCAGCCTACAAGGGACAGTTCCTGGGCCTTGGGCCCGCTCCCTGCAGAGGCCGCTCCTATAATAAAAGCTCATTTCCAGAGTCACAGCCAGACTTTGGCCTCTGGGGGGGCAGCACTGAGGGCTGGAGCCCCTGCTCCTGTCAGGCCCCCAACACCTCTGTTCCCTGGTCTCCAGCTCAGCCTTTCAGAGCTGGGTGGGGAGGAACGTTTTGAACACCTTCACCCCAACCTAATCGCAGACTTCCGTGCATTTGTAAGAAATGCTACCAGGACAGAGAGGGTCCCAGGTACCCCTTACCCAGCCTCCCCTGGAAGTAACATCTTGGAAAATTCGTACATCATCAACCAGACTCTTGACATGGGTATGCTTCGCTCTCCTAACACTTCCCCAGGCTCCTCGTGTGTGTCCTGGGGCTGCATGCCCCCTGGCTGGTTTTTCCCTAGACCAGGCACATATGGGCCCCATGGGGAAGCCAGGAACAGCCCTCACCTGCCTCTGCCTTGGGGGAACCTGCTTACTCCCACAGTTGATGCCCCTGTGGCTCCGGACAGAGTGCCCCATGCTGCTCTTCGGTGTGGGGGCAGGGGCTACCCTTCCCCTGGTGGTATCCCCCCCCCAACCCCGATACACACTCCCGAACAGCTCAGAACCTGGTAAACAGCTGGGGTGGGGGTGGCAGGGCTGTAGCCCTCACCCCCAGGCCTTACCTGATGCCCACCCACCTGGTCCTGGGGTGGTGGGAGACATTAACATCAAGAAAAGGATTCAGATCTCAGGTTGACGGGAAGAGGTGCCATCCTGCAGCCAGGGTGACAGCAAAAGACAATCCTGTAGATCCCCATGCCAGGCCGCACCAGGTTTTGGGGAGCAGATGAGGGCCTCCTCAGTGACTGTTCAGGAGATGCCCCAAACCTGGGAGCCTGTCCCAGAGCTAGGCCCTGGGCTTTGGGGAGGGAGGACTGCCGTCTAGCCTCCTGGCCACCTGGGCCATGACGGGGTGGGCAGCCGGAGCAGCCTCCCGGGGGGGGGGGTCCTGCAGCAGCTCTAGAGTGGCCTCGGCAACCCCTCTGCCCCACCTGGGACACGAGGGAGCTGGCCGGACCTGGGAATCTGCATTTAGCCCATATATTAGTTTCTTGGCACTGCTGTAGCCAAATACCACAGAACAGGTGACTTAAGACAACAGAAATTTATTCTCTGACAGTTCTGGAGGCCGGAAGCTTGAGATCAAGGTGTGGGCGGGGTTGGCATCTTCGGGGGGCTCGGAGGGAGCGTGGCTTGGGCTGTCGGTTTCTGGAGGCCTCTGGCCGGCGTCGTGTTCTCTGGCTGTGGCTGCGTCACCCCACTGTCCGCCTTCGTGGTCAGATGGCCGCCTTCCCGGTGTGTATGTGCGTCCTCTCCTTATAAGGACACTGGTCACAGCAGATTTAGGCTCTCCCCTCCTCCGGTGTGACCCAATTTCAACAGTACCTGCAAAGCCCCTATTTCACAGCAGCTCACATTCAGGGCGTCCCTGTAGACAGGAACTGGGAGGGGACCCCGCTCGGCCCCGTGCAACCCCCTCTCTGTCTGCCCCGCCTCCCAGGGGCCCGTCACACCAGCGAGGTGGAGCGGGTGCCGGTGCCCTGGGTGCCCCCGTCCCTGGAGGCTGCCGAGGCGCCCGGGGCCCAGCAGAGCAGCCTCTCCCGCACCTTGTCCCTGAACTCCGCGGACACGTAGTAGTAGATGAAGGGATCCACGCAGCTGTTGAGGGTACTGAGCGCCAGGCTGGGCACGTAGGCCGCGTACAGGTCCCCCCAGGCGTCCGGGCCCGGGTCCGAGTAGTGCAGCAGCAGCAGCGTGTTGCTGGGGACGAAGAAGGCCAGGGCCGAGGCGAGCACCAGCGCCGTGAGCCCCAGCGCGTGGCCGTAGCGCGGGCCGCCGGCCGCCAGCGCGCACAGCGCGGCCGCGTAGCTCAGCAGCACGACGAGCAGCGGCAGGAAGCAGCCCAGCACGGCCAGGCACAGGAAGGCGGGCCGCCAGTAGGAGGCCTGGGCGCCCGCGGGCAGCGCGTCGTGGCACAGCACGCGGGGCGGCCGCGCCAGCTGGAAGGTCTGCTGCTGCAGCGCCAGGGGCAGCGCCAGGGCCGCCGCCGCCAGCCAGGCCAGCGCGCAGAGCCCGGCGGCCAGGCGCCAGCCGCGCAGCGTGAGGGCTCGGAGCGGGTGCACCACGCCGAGGTAGCGGTCCAGGCTGATGGCCGCCAGCAGCAGCACCGAGCCGTACATGTGCCCGTAGAGCGCGGCCGTGGTGGCGCGGCAGGCCGCCTCGCCGAAGGGCCAGTGGCGGTCCTGCAGGTGGTAGGCGATGCGCAGCGGCAGCGTCAAGGCCAGCAGCAGGTCGGCGGCCGCCAGGTTCATGAGCAGCGTGGTGGAGGGCAGCCGCGGCACCCGCGTGGCCAGCACCCAGAGCGCCAGGCCGTTGGCCGGCAGCCCCACCAGCAGGGCCAGCCCGTACACGGCGGGCACCAGCCTCGTGGCCACCCAGCCCAGCAGCAGGGCGCGGGAGCTTTCTGGGATCTCCAAGATCTCGCTGTTGTTAGCCCAGGGTTGGCCGGGGAAGCTGCGCAGGTGGGGCAAGTGAGGGGTCCCCTCCTGGGGCCCGCTCAGGGGCCCCACTGTGCCATCTGGGGGAAAGGGGATGGAGGCGTTGAGAGTCCGGTTGTCACCCCCGTTTCTCCCCCCCCCCCACCCCGCCGGTCCCTCCCACTGCGGGATGCTGCTCCCTGGGGGCTCCAGTCCAGGCTCCAGCTCTCAGGAGCCCCCAGCTTGGTGAGTCAGAGCTGGACAGACACCCCCAGCCCTGGCACCGGGCTGGGTTGGAGGACTGCCCGCTCCCAGCCAGTTCCCTGTCTCCCACTCATCAACTCTAGGCCTCCCTCCAGCCCCCAGACAAGGCCCAAGGGCATGCACCATTACCTCCCCCTGTGCTCCCCATCTCGTCGTAGGTGAGGGGGCTCTGGCTGTCGTCTTCCAGGTTGAACCCCATAACCAGAGGCCAGAGCAGCACCAGGGCCCACATGCTGCCAAGGCTGCTCTGGGCTGGGGCCGGCTGACCTAGGGCTTCCTGCCCGGCTGGACCCCCCACCCCCAGCTTCCTGAGTGCCAGTGGAGGATTGGACAGGTCCCAGTGAGATAAACCAGCCCCTGCCCCCACAAGCCTGTGACAGGCCCATGGTGTGGCCTGAGGAGGCCTGGTGGCTAGAGTCACTCGGTTTCAAAAACAGGGTCCCAGTGCTGGGCCGGCAAGATGGGGGAGGAAATTCCCCACCCTCAGCCTCTGTCTAGCCCAGAAAGCCTCTCCGGGCTGAGTGGCTGCTTCCTGCTACCCGGTCATGTGGGCAGCCCCCCCCCCCCTTCCCAGGACAGCCCTGCAGGTCACGTCCCCAGGCAAGGGCTCTGTGCCCTTCCTGCAGCGCCCCCCTCCCGGTCTGTGGCTGGCTGGACCAGAGCCCTGCCTCCCAAGTCAGAGGTCAGAGCAGGTGAGTGATCCTCCCCTCTCCCCTGACACCCGGGTCCTCTGTGGGGGCTGCCCCGTCTTACTGCGACTATCCTGGGGAGCAGAGAGGAGCCCAGCTTCGGCCTCCTTCTGGGTCTTGAGGCCCCTTCTGCTCCCCTCCTGGTTCCATCCGCAGCCTGGGGCTCCTGGGAACGGTCAAGGCCAGAACTCAGCCGGGACAGAGGGCCCCTGAGCCACCCACCCTCCTCTCGCCCCTCCTCGTCCCTGCACTCAGATGGGGGCCCACCTTGCAGGTGAAAAAATTCAGAGGGGCTCGTGGGGGAGAGGGGAGGGTCCTCGTCTCTTCTGCACACAGTCCCCTCTGATGGCCCTCTAGGGAGAGGCCTCCGCCGAGCTCCGCGCTGGGGGGTCTCGACCTGTGTGGTCAGGCTGCTGCTGCTGCTGGGGTGGGGGGGCGGTCTGAGAGCAGGAGAACCCCAAGGGGGCCGTAGGGGGGCAAGGAAGAAGAAATGAACCAGGGGTGGGAGAAGGGCAGCGATGCGGCCTGTCCTGGTGCTGGGAGCCCTAATCTAGCCACACACTTGAGGTCACAGGGACCGGCCAGGAAGTGACCCAGCAGTCCCGGAGGGCGTCGGCGCAGCTGAGGGTGAGATGCCAAGGTCCCGGCCCCCAGTCCAGGGTGGGGGACCCAGGCCCAGACAGTTCCGGCCAGGACAGGGTCTTAGCCAGGAGTCTCCCGTTTCCGGACTGTTTCCACCGGCACCGGTGACAAATTCAGCCACGCGCGTGTCTCGGCAGGCACCTCGTGACCGAGGTCCCTCTGAGCTCACAGGGAAACCCAGATGGGGACCCCCTGCTGCCCTCCAGGAGCAGGATGGGGAACCTGTGCAGGGGCGGCTGGGGGGCTGGCGGCTGGGCGACTCTGGGGGAGGCTGGTTGGACTCAGGAGTCCGTGTCTGGGGAGGGATGGGGAGGCGGGGGGGGGGGGGCAGCTCGCGGGCAGGAAGTCATTTGTTGGGGGGGCGGGTATTCTCCCCAGGGCAGAGGCGGGGTTGTGTATCCACAGCCGCATCACAGAAACAACCCTGTGCCAGCAGGAGGGGGCAGCCCCCCCCACAGGATGTGCGGGGCCACCTGCCTGCCACGCCAGGGGCTTTCTGGAGGACGCTGAGGGCAGCCGCCTTTGGGGAGAGGGACTTGGGTGCCTACCGTGTGCTTTTGTGTACTGCTGGGATTTTTCTGTGTCATCTGTCACTGTCCGTAAAAACCTCACTTTTAATTTATTATTTATTTAGCTCCATGCCCAGCATGGAGCCCAATGCGGGGTTTGAACTTACTACCCTGAGATCAAGACCTGAGCCACCCAGGTGCTCCCCGAAACTCACATTTTTAAAAAGGCAGAATAGCGGCCCCTGGGTGGCTGAGTCAGTTTAGCGTCTGCCTTTGGCTCAGGTCATGATCCCGGGGTCCTGGGATCGAGTCCCTCTTCGGGCTCCCGGCTCAGCGGGGAGGCTGCTTCTCCCTCTTCCTCTGCCCCTCCTCTCTGCTCTTGCTCTCTCTCAATCTCTTTCTCTCAAATAAATCTTTTTTTTTTTTTAATTAAAAAGGCAGGATAGCAGCTTTAAAAAGGAATGAAAATCTGGGGCGCCTGGGTGGCTCACGGGTGGAGCGTCTGCCTTTGGCTCCGGGATTGATCTAGGGGGTCCTGGGATCGAGTCCCACGTCGGGCTCCCTGCATGGAGCCTGCTTCTCCCTCTGCCTGTGTCCCTGCCTCTCTCTCTCTGTCTCTCATGAATAAATAAATAAAATGTTTTAAAAAGTAAAAAAATAAAAAGGAAGGAGAATCTGATAGAAGCCATTCTACAGCATGGATGATGCTGAGTGAGATAAGCTGCCAAGAAAGCATCGATACTATGTGACCCCACTAAGATGAGGTCCCTCGACGTGGTCCGATTCTCAGAGCCAGCGAGTAGGCGGTGGGTGCGGGTGCGAGGGGCCGGGGGAGGAGCGGGGGCGTCTGTGTTTTATGGGGACAAGAGTTCCCAGTTTGGGAAGACGGGGAAGTTCTGGAGAGGGACGGCGGGGATGGTTGCATAACCACGTGGATGTACTTACAGCCACTGAACTGGACACTTAAAATGGCTCAATTTTACGTGTATTTTAACTGAATTAAAAACATTTAAAATGATGGGGGGGAGGGGAAGGGCAATCTGATCTGAGTCAGCAGATGGTCCTGGATTCCCAAAGCCGGCAGCCCCACCTGGCCCGCCCAGGAGCCCCTGCAGCCCATGCCGGCCCAGCTCGAGGTCTCCAGCGGACGATGGAGGTCGGTGCGTCAGTTAGAGATGCCTCAAGTCCAACGCAACACCTCTTGGGGCACCATCTTCGTGGAAAGTGTGATTTCTTTATGCTGTACTTTGAAGGCAGATGGGCACGCACAACGGTGTGTCTGCCTTATTCCCGGGCTGGGCCTCAGCCTGTGGGCAGGGACATTAACCCACTTCCGGCCCAGGGGAGGGTGCCCTGACCAGGTCTGGCGCTCTCAACCCCAGATGCCCCTGGGACCGCAGTCCAAGCTGCACCATCATACCACGCCCTCCACGCCCTGGCGCTTGGGCACACAAGAGCTGCCATTCAGATCTCAAGCCCACACCCCCGGCCCGGGCCCTCAGCCTTCTACCCCGAGGTCCTACTCCCCCAGGCCCCCCCCCCCAGACGCCTTCAGTCAACTCGCTTTTCAGAACAATCGGCCTCCTCCTCAGCCAGGACATTGGTTAAAGCGCTGCTTATACCTCGTGAAATAGCCATTGAGACAAACCCTTCACAAATAGCAGAAGAGATAAATAGATGCTCATCAGGCCCCCCTGGAAAGCCTCACCTCCCCCCCCACCCAGTACCACCCGCCTGCTCCCTCTCCCCTCTGGGAAGGAGGAGGGAAGGGAGGTGCAGGGCGGTGAGGACGGAGAGCTGCTTTATTCATCAGGGCATGACCGCCCGCTGCAGACAGCGCCTTGATCAACAGGCCCTGAGGATCTGGTGCCTCCACGAGTCCGGGGAGGGCAGGCTGGTCCCCTGCTCCGCGCCTCACCAGGCTGCAGGCTGTGTCCACAGGGCCAGGTCCTCACCCGCACAGGTCACAACCCCTTCCCAACACGGCCAGCAGGAGACCCTCCCTCCCGTTTCTCCTGCGGAGCCCTGACCCCAGCCACAGGCCCCGCCAACTCCAAGGACCCTGTGTCCTTCCGGAAGCTGCTGCAGCAGCTGTCAGGGCCTGCGCCCCAGGACACCCCTCCCAGAGCTTCCAACCGGAAGGCCCGACTGCGGGCACCCAGGGCCCTGGGACCCATCCTTGACGTGGGCTCGAGGCAAGGAGGCATCTGGGGTAGCACTGAGCCTCATTCGCCAAACTCCCGGGAGCCCTGATCCTCTGGAGGGGGAGGCGTGCGGCACCATGTGTGTGTGTGGGTGCATGGCGAGGAGGTTGCTGGAAGGCAACAGCCACTTGGGAAGAGGGCCGCATCCAGGAGACGGCAGGCCAGGTGGGCAGCAGTCTCAGCTCTGGGACCTGACCTGGGAGGGCGAGGCCCGGCAGTGGGCACCGGGGGTGAGTTAGGGGGGAGGCCAGATAGGAGCCCCAAGGGCTTATCCGCTAAGAGGGCCCTAAGAGCTGTGGTCTCCCACTACCCTGGAGGCAGGGCCGGATGGGAGCAGACCCTGGTGAGCTGGGGTGGGGGGTACAGAGTGATGACAAAGTCTCTGGAGGTGTGTTGAGAGGAGAGGGGAGCCCGGGGGTGGGAAAGATCCCGTGCTGGGCAGGTAGAGAAAGCTCAGAGCCAACACCATTTTTTCCCAAGCACAACACTTAAACCCCTCTCCTGAGCTGGGAATGAATATTCCAGAAAACTGGATGGGACGGCATCCTTGGGGAAACAGAACCCTCCTGTGGAGGTGCAGGGTGGCCGCGAGGGGGCGCAGGTGCAGACAAACCCTGGGGGCCCCTGTAATGACCAAGAGGACTTCAGAGTTAGGTCAATATTTAGTTTTTAACTTTAATGTGCAAATAAATAGAAAAGGAAAAACTACATTCAAAACAGCTGCAAAGGAAGTACAAGCCCCAGAACAGAAATTCTTCAAAAACAGAAGAGACGCTCCCTAGAAGCATGCAGGGCGGGGCTCAGTGGGGTGTGGCCCGCACCCCAGGGCCACAAGGAGGCACGGAAGGGGCCACGGGCTCCGGAGGATGGCTCTGGGAGGGTCTGGTTCAGGAATTCCGGTAAGTTCCCTTCTTATAAAACAAGGATGTGGACAAAGTGCCTGGTACACTTGAGCAAACATGGGCTAGAAGACCTTGGGCAGGGCACACTGGCCCTGGAATCACCCAGACCCCAAGTCAAAGGCTTTGCAAACCTTGAGTTCCACAGGTAACTTCTAGAAACTTCTAGAAATACATCTCCAATCCCCAGAACTGCAGATTTGGCACAGCTCAGTTTTGGGAGGGTGAGGGCTGCTGCTGGGCAGAAAGGAGGCTGCACGGGGATGGTTCTGGAGCCCCTGTTGGTTGACCCCCTTCTGATGGTGCCAGGAGCCCGGCCAGGGCTTTTCATGGTGCAGGAATTCTAGAGAGCTGGTCCCCAGCCCAGACTGCTTGGCATTCTTGGCACAGAAAGCCTCTGTAGGGCAGTCGCCTCAGCCCCTCATGCCTGTCCCCTGTCCAGGTGGTGGCTCTAGGAATGGCAACGTCAAGGGCAGACCTGCAGAGTCCCACGAAGAGGGCTCTCAACTGCCCAAGGAACCGCGGGACTTGGCTGCTGCAGAAGTTACAACCACTAGGAGAGCTTATGAATAAATACTTGTGTGCATATATATATTTCTAGAATGTCCTTCTTAGGTACATGGCCGCACCCCTGGCCCCCCCGCCAGTGTGGGGCCACTCGAGCTCCAAGGGAGTTTCAGGCTGAGCCCCCTCCTCTCGGGAGCTCGGAGTGTGGCTGCCATGTCAACACAGGGCTTGGAGTCCCATTTCTTCCAGGGTGGGGCCTCCCATGCCACATCCTGACATCAAAGCAGAATCTCAACAGTTTGGCCCAAAGGGCTCCTCCTGCTTTCAAAGTGACCAAGGACCCCACGCATTAGCAGGGCCACGCCCATGCCCAAACTATCAGATGCAGGCATGGTCCCAGCTTGGGAAATTTCCAGAAGCTTCTAGAACCATTCAGGAAGGAGATGCTTTTCAAGCAGATCCCCCAGGCCCGACTCCTTCGATGTTGGGGTCTCTTGAATGCCGACCCCCTTCCCCACACATGCCCCCCAACGCACAGTTCATCACGGACTTTTCCAGACACTGCACAAAAGGACCAGTGGTGCCCTCACCTAGGGATTTGGCACGTGTGATGAAAGCGGCCCAGCAGGTGCATAAAGGCCATCACTTGCTCCTCGGCCAGCGTGTTGATCCTCCCCCTTCCAGCAAGGAGCGAGCCCCGAGTTCAAGTGCAGGAAGGGGTCAGGTTTGGCACGGGATGAACCCAAAGGAAGCAGGGAAGCCGAAAGGGATGGTAGCACAGGGCCACAAGCCGACACAACCCTATCCTTCTCTAGAGCTCGCAGCCTGTAGCAGCAAGGCTGGGGGACACTGTGCTCCCCTCAGGTTGTTCATGAGAAGGCCCCGATGCACATCTGGGCCAGGGAAGTGGCTGCACCAAACCGCGCGTCATGGCGCCCACCGAGGGAGTCAGGGCGAGGCTGGGCGGCGGCTGTACTGCACTCGGTAGCGGGTCACAGGCAGGCCGTGCACGTGTGCCGTCTCACAGAGGGTCTTGCAGGGCACCATGTCCTCGTCCTCCTCGCCCATCAGCCAGTCCTGCACCAGGCCAGCCGCTTCCACTGTCACGTTGTCCTCCAGCCAGCGGCCATGCCACTCCT